TAGCAATCCTGAGGCGACCCAAACAGACAAACCCAGCAGAAACCAGCACCCAATTGAAACCAGCCTAGCCACCATGACAGCCCACCAAACTAATCCAGCCGGATCGTAGAAACCCCGCCAGACATCCGAACCCCACCAGCCCCACCCATTCCCCATACGCCAACCTTCCCCGGCAATGCTAACTGTCCTTTTTAGGACAGTTACCCCTACCCCACCAGCCCGCATGTTTCTAAACTGTCCTTATCAGGACTTTTTAGTTCTCCCCTTCCAATACAGCCTACTTCACACCAACCGAAAGGAAAGGCCCAAGCATGAAAATCGGAACTCAAGGCACAACCAAACGCCTCCAAGAAACAAAACGACCTAGAGTCAGCAATCAAACAAGGACTCGATATAGTCGCCGCTCATCCAGGAGCAGACTGAAAGAGTCCAGGAGATTTATTATTTTTGTTTTCTACAAAGTTCAAGTTCAAGTTCAGCGTCACAGCTATAATTCACAACTCAGTGAGGATACGGTTTAAAAAAAATGTGATTCACGTGCTCTTTTAATCAGTATCGGGGCTGCCAGATTGCTGAGCGTTGACCCCAATGAGAGTTTAAAGTTTAAGTAATCACAGTTACCACAATGTACGTGCCAGATCCCCCTAAAAAATTGTAGTTAACATTTTACACAGTAATTATTAAACTGACACTGAAAGCAAAAAAAATCTATTAAATATCTTACTCCAAATTAAATACATCTAGAAGTACGTCTACCGTCTAGACGTCAAAAACACCATCTAGATGCAAGAGAAAACATCTAGATCTGAATATAAAACATCCAAAGTAGCAACACTGTGACAACTTTTACCGGGGCCAGATTCCTGATGTGGGCGGTTTGTTCATATTGTTTTCAGAAAATAATACGAGAATCACACCGTGAAAAACAAATAGGGATCCCACCACGTAATAATCTCATAGTTAGCAGTGAACGCATTACAGCCAGCCTTTATTGTGGAGACCTAAGGTTAAGGTTAGTTGCGTATCCTATACAGGACGTTGCAGAACCAACCCCAGCAGCCCCTAGCTGTTGTGTGGTTTCTCTAGGCAAATTTACGTCCAGTAGTTTGACTTTGCTTACTGGACGGTCGGCTTTCTTGACACCACTGTCGATACCATCGCAAGGCGCGTGGCCCGCAGCTGGGATCGAACCTGTTATCCCGGCATTACGAAGCGTTTGCATCGACTTAGCCACAGAGCCGACATTGTGGAGACCACACACTTTAAAGAACCGTTCCCAGACGCTAGAACTCTACCTCAGTACATCTGCATTTGAGATCGTCTTTTTATCAAGTTATGAATGACTCAGGTGAGAAGTTTCTCAAACTTTCTAACAGTGCTTCCCAGTTAGAGTTAGACAAGATCCCCAAGATTATGTTTTTAAGGCGAAAGCGGGAACAAACGTAGAACCTTAACCTGAACAATCCGTAGCGACAGCACTAGCTATGTTGTGCTTAATCCTTAAACTCAAAGACCCCCCCCCCTTTTCTCCCATTCCACCTCACCTCGCCCCTTTAAACCTACACCACAAACGAGGTTAATAGAATCAGTAATGGCAGTGAGTCGGCTCTGTGGCTAAGTCGATGTGAACGCTTCGTAATGCCGGGATAACAGGTTCGATCCCAGCTACGGGCCATGCGCCTTGCGTTGATTTCGACAGCGGTATCAAGAAAGCTGACCGTCCAGGAAGCAATGGCAAACTACTGGACATAAATTCGCTTAGAAAAACCACACAACAGCCAGGGGCTGTTGGGGTTGTTTCTGCAACGTCCTGTAAAAGGATACGCAACTAACCAAGGCAGTGAATTTTTAAAAATTCGATATTAGAATCACAAGAAAAAAGGATTGCTGTTTTTCGTTTCTAAATGATGTCACCGACCCCTTTTGGGAACCACTGCTGTAACACATTTTGAAAGACAAACAATAATAAGCTCCCAGAACAAACACGCTGTTTATGAAGAAATTAGAGTAAGCATTTGTTTGCTAAAATAAAGGACTTTCAGTTTCCCCTTCATCATTGCACATATTAAATTCGAGATATTGTTTATACACACTTGTCTCTCTGTTAGGTTAGCTCTGCGTTTGAATATTTATTTGTAACCCTTGTGTACAGCTAAAATTGTGCTTGAAAACATAGCAAATGCAGCGAAAGGATAAATATAATTTCTTTGTGGATCTTTCTAAGATGAGCCAGAGATTAACTTTTTATAAAAGACATCGACAATATATGCAAAGAAGAAAAGAGCGAAGAAATTATGAAATCTCAGAATTGTTATTTGCAGATGATCAAGTATTAATAGCTGAAACAGGGTTGCCATATTGGCATTTTCGATGAAAGATTTCACAAATCTGGCATATTTAAAAATGAACTGGCATATTTGGGTTTTTCCTGGCTTTTCTTATTAAGATGTGCTCACATTTGCTTCATGGTTCCTCCATTAGAAACACGCAGATTTGCTAAAAGCAATTTAGATCTACAGTTGAAACCTTTATTTCAGTTTGACCTTGTTGTGATGTCCTGGTACGGACTAACGGAGATTCGCGCCATTTCTTATTGTATTTGTTGTCTCATAAACGGATCATGACTTCAATAAAGTTTATCATAAACCCAGGCCCTTTGTAATTTATGTTAATCTACTAGAATAAATACGGAATATAAAACCAAAACCCACCACTGATACCAAGTATTCAGACTGTTCAGAAACTACTTGAGGACATAAAATAGAGAGGATATAGACCTAGTTCTATCTGTGATAGATTTTTTGGCTCTCCTAGCAGATTTGGCCGGCAAGTAGGTCGGCTTCGGTCGGCGTAGTGGGAGTTCTGTCCCTTGGCCGCACTCACAACAACGATCGGAAAAAGTCACGAATCAAATGACATACTTACCTATCATCATCCGGGTGCGTGTAGGGTTGCGTACGGTTGCGTCTAGGGTTACCTATCATCATACGGTTGCGCGTAGGGCTGCGTAGAGTTTCTATCATCATCATACGGTTGCGTGTAGGGCTGCGTAGGGTGTCTATCATCGTCATACGGTTGCGTGTAGGGTTGCTTAGGGTTTGGGTTAGCGGTAGGGTTAGGGGTTTGGGTTAGGGGTAGGGGTAGGGTTAGGGGTTCGACCGAAGCCGACCTACTTACCGGCCAAATCTGCTAGGAGAGCCGATTTTTTAACCTTTACCAATAGCCACGTCATCCAAAAAAAAAAAAAAAAAAATGGAAAGCGGCTTGACTTAAGACATCGCAAGTATAATAGTAACTGGAAGAAAAATTACCCACGGCTCAAAAGATCTTCAGCCGGATCAGAGGCGGCCTATTGTAAACTGTGTCAGTGCACTGTTACACCAAGAATTAGTAGCATAACAAATCATGAAAAATCCGAAAAACACAGAAAGAAAACTCCGTCAAAAAGGCAGTCACTGCTTATTACAACAATAACTCCTAGGCAAAGTAATGATAAAGTTAAAAGCAGCAGAGTTGCAACTTGCTGTAGGCATGACCTGCCATTGTGCAATACCCACAATTGATAATCTAAGTGAAATCACGAGAGCGCATGGTCGAGGGAGTACATTGGAACACATGCAGTTGCATAGATAGAACCAAATGTTCATGCCTAATTAATGAAAAATATTATATCGCCTGCACTTCAGAATGACCTTATTGTTGATTTTCAAAACATGAAATATGCCATCATTGTAGATGAGCTGCAAAGATTTCATTCCATCTGAGAAAATGCTTAAAGATTTTACATCCGAAAAAGTTTACGTTGTGTCTTCCACTGATTCTAGTGAGAATGACAGTAAAGAATTCAATCTAGAGCTTTTGATGTGAAGTGAGTACAATGTTACACCTTATTTGGCATATTCTGGCATATTTTGGGTAATGGTTTGGCATAAAGTGAAGTTTTGTTTTTATCCGGCAACCCTGTCCTGAGCTAAAACAGGAGAGAGTTTACAGAACCATACAGACCAAGTCACTACTAAGTGTGAGAAATATAATATGAGGGTAAGCATTGATAAGACAGAGGCAGTGGTAACAGGTCGACAAAAAGAAACCATATCAATTAAAGTAAATGCCCGGCTCTCTATCGTAATTGGCTAAACCGGACTGCGCGGTGATCTGGTGATGAACTCCTTGTGGTCCGGGTTCATTCCCGGGGGTAGGCAGAAAAGCTACATTTCTCCCAGATTTACGGTATTTACAATGGAATCATGGCTGAAAGGTTGTGATATTCATAAAACTGAGCCTAAGGGTTAACAACTCATGGCTTCTGGATACTAAAACAAACAAAAACAAAAATTAAAGTAAATAACTCAGAAATAAAACTAAGGAGTGAATTTAAATATCTATGGTCAATTTTTTTTTCACCTCATATGGAAGAATGGATAGAGAAATCAACCTATGATGTGCAAAACCAAATCAGGTTATGGAACAAATAACACGGCTTCTGACGCATAGAAAGATTCTCTGTCAATTAAAGCAAATCTCATAAGAACGTTCTTTTGGCCGACATTGTGCTACCAGTGCCAGACATGGACCCTTACAAATAAGCGAAAGATCATAACATCAGAGATGAGATGTCTTAGAAGTTGAGTCAAGAATTGATATCACAGCACTCAGGTCATTCCTATATGTTCTCCATCCCCATCTTCAGCACCAGTGTAGAGTTCCAATAGTAATGGTACCAGTCATAGTCTGGTTATATGTCTGTCTTGCTTTTCGTCTGAGTCTTGTGAGCCAGCCAGACCCTCTGATCACACATAGGTGCATCATTCTCTCCAGGCCATAATAAATCCCACTTGAGGGGAAGCAAACTCACTTTTTACGACATGTTTGTTAGGAACAGTGGATCTGTGCTTTTCAGCCCTTTAAAATGTACCCTAACCCCACACTGGGTGATTGAATCCACTTTCATTGAACATTTACTTGTAATTCCATGATTTTTCTATTTCTTCCTTTTTCAGTCATAGAAGCAAGAAACTTGTGTCCTATGGATCCAAATGGCCTTGCTGACCCCTACTGCAAGGTGAAACTGATCCCGTATGACTCACATAAAGTGAAGATGAAGACAAAGACCATCAAAGCATCTTTAAACCCTCAGTGGAATGAATGTTTTCTTATGTAAGTAGACAGCAAGGCACTTACACCTGTGTGCCAGATTATCATTCATTAGTTGTCCTGTTGTGCATTATCTGTCACATAGAGCTGGCAGTCTATTACTCTATTATGTTCTGTCCTGTGCATTTAGTTCAGTATCAGGGAATCCAATCGAGCAGCTTTGGCCTCTCTCACTAGCATTCGTCTTGGAGTTTCTTTTGGGCTTCCTCGCCTCCTTAGTCTCTTTATTTCACATTTTATGCCTGTTTTATGATTCTCTGTTGGTTTCTTCTCAGGATTTGCCTGATGTAGTGCCATCTTCTCTGCACACCTTTAGGCATATAGGGCTAGAACTATATTTTTATAGACCAATCTGCACAAGATGGGTGATGTGGTCACCATCACGCCGGCTGCCTTTACTTCCTGGGACTGCACCCAGTACACACTCAAGGCTTGGTTAACCTGGGAATCAAGGTCATTTGTTTACACACTCAGTATATAGTTTAAATTGGCATGGCCTGTCTTCTCGACCAAAGCCAGACCACCCGATTCCCCCCCCCCCCTTTTCCCAAATCCTGGCATCAAGCGCACATCCTCACAATGCCTGCTCAACCGCAACTCCAGCACAGTCGTTCAGACCCACCACTGGGGCTTGTCTGTGTGGGGTAGAAAGTCACTTAGGTCCAGTTCACCCTCGCTGTGTTTTTCATGACCAGTGGAGTCCAAATCAAACGTCAAACATTGCTGTCTAGAAACTTGATGGTCACAGTTAGGATGACCATAATATCTTAAACTAAAACTGGGACATCTGTTTAACGATTGGAATTGACAAAGGACATCCAGAGCAAAGCATTTTAACCCCCTCCCACCCCCTACCCCCTTTCTGCCTCCTTTATTTTCTAGGTCACCAGGGTTAAAGGTTTGCTTATTTATTGACAATGGTATTAGAACCTGAGGCACGATCGCGAAAAACAAAACAATGCGCTTTAACTACACTGGAAGGGGGGGGGGGGGGGGGGGAGGGGGGGGGGAGGGGTTTGCTTGCTGCAATGAAAATTTCAAAAACACAGCTATTAAATTTAATAATTTCTGCAGATATAATTGTTTGTTCTGTTCTTGAGCTAATTCTTGAATTTGTATAAAGTAGGACAATTTAAGTCCTTTTCAGAGTACCGATGGGACAGGGGGACATAACTAACAAAATAAAAACAAAAAACAGTTCTGTCCCTGTGAAAACAAATGTATGGTCACCCTAGTCTAGTCCACACAATCATGACCAGATACAATGTCAGCCCATGAGACACCTACGAATAGACAATAGAATGTTTCAAATCTCTTGCCTCGCTGATAATAACAATGTGGGTCCTCCAGTGGTATTTGTAATTAATTTATATGGTATGTTAGTTGTGTATCCTTTACAGGACGTTGCTGAACCAACCCAAGCAATTTATTTTTGCTGTCGTGGATTTTCTAGGCAAATTTTATGTTTAGTAATTTGCCATTGCTTTCTAAAAGGTCAGCTCCTGGTACCACAGTGTTTGACTAAGCTGTAGACATAAATGTCACAATTTTTAGAGCATACATGCTTCCTGTAAGTAGGTAAAAAAATTAAAGATCCCTTTTCACGCCTTAGGCGCATCGGGCATATGGGAAGTGCATCCCATATTTTTAGAGACCAATTGGCACTAGGTGGGTAATGTGGTCAGAATTACGCCTGCCGTCTTTACTTTCCCAGGACATACATCCTGGTACTCATTTTAGGCTGGGTTGACCTGCAAGGCCCCATACCATGATAAAAATCCATGCAGCCGGCAGTGGGTTTTGATCACGTTACGTTGGAATTACGAGTCGGGCTCGCAATGACTAAGCCACCGACGCCGCATGCTTCCTGTAGCAAGATATGAATATGAGTCGGGGACTAGCTCACAATCATTAAGGAAGAAAATATGAGCTTTTGAGCTTAAATGCTTTTGAAAGATTTTTTTTAATACCATGGACTAAGAAGAAAAGAAAAACTGACATCATAAAGGATCTGAACATCAAGGAAGATAGGCTCATAAACAGCATCTTGTCTCAGAAACTGAAATACTTCGGCCATATCAAATGCCACAGTGGATTGGAAAGAACAGAGATAGAGTACATGGTACCAGAGGGTTATGGACCAACCAGCATGAAGATGGGCAAAGAACATAGGAGACACCTGGAGCAGGAAAGAACATGACGCAGTGGAACAGATGATGGTCTGAGTTTCTTGCACGCATGTAGAGATAGCATCGATGATGTTCTGTGAAGGACTTGCTACGTAATGATGTCTAATATTATTCTTTACAGAAAAGTATGCTTTGATATTTATTCATTGACACAATAAAAATTAATTGTATATATTGTTGAAATTGTCTTCAGGGATTTGGCTCCAGAGGACCAGGCCAAGAGACTTTCATTTGAAGTGTGGGATTGGGACCGGACCTCAAGAAATGACTTTATGGGATCTTTATCATTCGGGATCTCAGAAGTAAGATCCTTTAGCTTGATGTTAGAAATGATCTTGGCTGCTGATATATTAAACTTGACATTGAAAATATTCATTGTTTTCTTCTTCTTCTTAGTGTTCAGCGGCTGTGAACTCTAGCAGAAAGTTCTGGTTGTTTGTCCACTTCTGAACTTTGATCTTGTTCCAGAACCTGAGTTTTGCATGCAAATCCGTTTTACAGATTAGATCTGGCTTTGTTTTTTTCATGCAGACTCTCACACAGACACATTCAGACTTTGAAAGAAAACTCCTAATTACTCACCTTTTACAACATGCTTGTGAGGGGGGGGGGGGGGGGATCTATTCCTTCCTCCCCCCCCCCCCCCCCAACCCAGATGACAGTGAAAGTGTTCAGCATCTTGCTGTTTGTTTGAGGCTGGACACATTTTTGGCTGATGAATGTTTTGTATTTGGTTCTGAAAATGTTAATATTGTCTGATAATTAATTAGCCTGATTTTAGTATTTGAAAAGCTGATAGATTTGCATACATGGTAATGTCAAAAATGGATGATCAATGGATAGGTTTAATTTATTGAAAGCCATCATAGAAGTATGGCAACTAAAAGAAGTTAAGGAATGGCAACTTTAAGCAGCAGACTGCAACAACAGAAAGACCAAAGAGGTGAAGCCAAAGAAGCAAAACAAATAAATGAGCAAAATACAAGCTTTGTTTATAAAAGGTCACAAACTGGGAATGCACACACATCTCATATTTAGCACACACTAAATTTTCAGACAGCGGTTTTTAATCTGTAAACTATGTTTTGTTCATAGCAATATATATATATATATATGTGTGTGTGTGTGTATGTATGTGTGCCTCTGTGAGTGTATGTATGTAATACAAAACACAAAACCAAGCATGAGACCAAAGAATAGTAAACCAACACAGAAGAGTGCTAGGAGTTGCCTGCATTCTGAGAGATTGTTGTTGTTGTTGTTGTTATCGATCCAGCGGCGCATGAGCTTTCGCCCTTTGGCCCAATGCCATGTAGTGGAATTTGCATGTTTTCACAAGCTGTTCTTTTCCTCCGTACAAGGTGTTCCACTTGTCTGGTCTCGGAGGGAGTAGCGTTCTTCTTGTCTCACTGAGTTTTGGGCACTCAAAGAGATGGTGTTCAACAGTTTCGTAGGGGTAGTTACATAGCTGGCACTCTGGGGAGTGTTGTGGCTGTATTCTGTTTAGGTGTCCATTGAGTGGAGTATGTTGCGTTCTAAGTCTGAAGATGGTGGCCTGGTCCCTTCTTGTTAGATGGTTAATGCTGTCATTAGGATCAGGGCCAGACATATGTCTATAAACCTCTCTTCCAGTGTCTCCCATGGCCCATCTGTTCAACCAAGTCTCTTTGTTTATAGCTCTTATCAGTGTTTTTTGCTGTCTGGAGGGTTGTCGCTGTAGGTGGTTGTTCTTGTGTTGCTCCTTTCTTTGCCAATCTGTCAGCTCTGTCATTACCTGGTGTGCCGGAGTGACCTGGAATCCACTGCATCACTATTCTGATGTTGTATGAGGTAATAAGCTGATCGGCATCCAGGATTATCTTGGCTATGTCAGTTCTGCAGCGTTCATTGCCCTCCAGAGCTTGAAGGGCAGACATTGAATCTGTGAAGATGACAATATTTTGGACCTTTGAGGGGTAAACATCCATTACAGTCTTTAGGTGGTATACGGCTGTTTCCAGTGCAATTATTTCAGCTTCATAGTTTGAACAGAATTCCCCGCATGCATCAAAAATCTCTTCAACAGATCCATCGGGATAACCTATGTAGATTCCGTAACCTGCTTTAATGGTAGCTTTAAATGCTGATCCATCAGTATAGACATGTATCCATTCTTGGGGGTAAGAATCAACGGTCTTTAGTGATGAGTTCATAAGAGCGATTGGGTCGGACTGTTTGGTTTCCTCGCCTACCAATTTAGTTTGGACTTCTGGAGCTTTAAAGCGAGCATGTGGTGGTAGGTTTTTTGCAACATTCTGAATTCCTTGACGTCTTTCTGGGAGGTGGTATCTGTCCTGAATTTCATTAACACAGTGTAAAACCGATTTGTGCTTTATTCTTTGTTTGGATTCCCAGTTTTCTACAAGATGTCTATTAGGATGGTTACGATTTTTCCTAACGCATCTTTCATAAATTTCTAAAGTGGCTTTTTCTCTCCGCAACCCGAGGGGTTCCACATTTGTATGGATTTCACATGCAGCAGTTGGTGTAGACTGCATAGCTCCGCAGATTAATCGGAGGGCATTATTTTGTACTCTGTCAAGAGTCTCTAGGTTAGTTTTGGAACAAGTTGTAAGCAGTGAGTTGTTGTACTCTATCACAGAGCGAACATATCCTAGGTATAAGCCCCTCAGAGTTTCCTTGTCTGATCCCCATGATGTACCTGCAAGTCTCTTTAATAACTGTAACCGCCTCAATGCCTTATTCCTGATGTTTTCAATATGGTTCTTGAGGCTGAGCTGCGGGTCAAGTGTGACTCCAAGGTATGTGGGATGCTCTTCTTTCATCACTTGGTGTTTGTCTAACCTCAGGTTAATATTCTTCCTTGCTACTTGGTGGCTTTTGGTAAAGATTGTGTAGACCGTCTTTGCACAGTTAATCTTGAGTTTCCATCTTTGGCAGTAATCATGCAGTCTTCTAAGGTCTCCATTCAGTCTTTGGGCTCCACTTTCCACATTTTCATGACTCTGCCATATTGCTAGGTCATCAGCGTACAAGGCTTTTTCAGCCTTGATTTGTTCTGGCAGGTCATTGATAAAGATTAGGAATAGTGTACAGCTCAATGATGAGCCTTGTGGCAAGCCCTCCTCCAAGACTTCTTTAGAAGAGATTGCGTTGTGCATCTTAGTCTGGATTGTTCTATCTATCAGGAAGTATTTCACCCAGTTATACAATCTGCCATGTATTCCTATGCTCATCATCTTCATCAGGAGACCTTTTCTCCATACTCTGTCATAGGCCTGCTGAAGGTCGACAAAGACTGCCACTGTGTGTTTCTTATTCTGGAAGCCATCATGTATTCTTTGTGTCAGTCTGAACAGCTGGTCTTCTGTGCAGCTGTTGGTTCTGAAGCCTGCCTGTTCATGGCATAGAGCACCAGAACTCTCAAGGAACCAATATAAGCGCCTGTTTATCATTCTTTCTGCAACTTTGCCCAAGCATGATGTTAAGGATATCGGGCGGTAGCTTTTGGGGTCATCTGGAGGCTTTTTGGTTTTAAGGATGGGGACGATATATGCATTCCTCCATGCCCTTGGAAGTTTGCTTGACCTCCAAGTTTTATTAATAAGCCTGAGAACTACTTCTCTCCCAGACCGGCCAAGATGTAGCAGCATTTCGTTGTGGATCTTATCTGGGCCTGGAGATTTTTCTAGGAGATTTTCTAGGCTTTTAATTTCTTCAGGGCTTGCTCTAATTTTCATCCATGCTAACAGCTTCCTGCTTGTTAACAAAAATAATGATTGAAATGTCGCTTTCTTCTGTTGGATTGTCTCTCCATCTGTCACTGTTTCTTCACCCTTCTACTTTCTCCGAGAGAACTAAAGCTGTTTATTTCCATTCTGTTCTATCGAGTTCTGTCCACTTTTAGCTTACCTACAAGCTTTACTCTGGCACATTTTATTGTATTGGATCTTTGCTTCTGTTGAACGTGCAGTTTCGAAATATTCTTGCTTTATTCCTTTCAGAAATTTTGTTCTTGATTCCAAAAAGGTTTATAGCTTTATTAACTACAAGCTTTACTCTGGCATTTATTGCTTCTGCTTGAACGTGCAGTTTCGAGAAATATTCTTGCTTTATTCCTTTCAGATATAGTATTTGATTCCAAAAAGGTTTATATGCCTTCCGGCTGCCCTTGGGATGGCTTTCGACGCTGCATTCAGGATTGCTTGTGTTATGTCTTCACAAAAAGTTTCCACACAGCTGTTGTCAATTCTTCCCAGGAGGCAGTCAGATGTTTCCTGAAATAGTTTCCAGTTTGCTTTTCGGAAATTCCAACGAGTTCTCTGCTTGAAGCGTAATTTAGGGGTGGTGCTTACAGTTGTGAGTATAGGTTTGTGGTCACTTCCTATGTCGTCCAGGACTTGGGGATAGCTTGCGTCTGCTAAGTCGGATGAGCAGATGGTCAGGTCTGGTCTGCTGAGAGATAGGTGGGCCCTGTGTAACAGTGTAGGTGTAGACTCTGTGTCCTGCAGCACTAATAGGTTAGCATTCTGAGAGATAAACTGAGGAAAGTGTCCAAGTGCTGAATGGTTCGGTGTATAGTGATGATAATGATCTTTTGAGTAACTAATAAATTAATCATATATATTTCCCAATAAGCATGTTGTTTACTGTATGATTTTTGACAATATTCATGACATTTTATAAACCACAAATTCTGACTGTGTTTACAACTTTTGCAATGTAGACAGGGTAGTTTTTGAGCCTTTAAAATGTAGGGCCGCAAGGCTAGTGTAGTCACCAGTGACTGTAAGGGTTAGGGTTTTATTAAAGCCTACAACTGGAAAAAACTTGTAACCTTACCGAGGATTCAATCTTGATCTTTCACATGAAAGCCTTTTGTTCTTAACTGCTAAACCAGTTTTTAATACTTACAGTAAAGCTGAAACATGTTTCTAATCTTCATCATTCCCACACACTTTGTCTCCTACTTCTTCTCTCCAAATGGAAAATAAGCCCTTAACTCACTAATTACCAGGCTTCTCACTGTAGGTCTCTTACATGATTTACATCTGTTGGCATATCTGCCTGCTGTCTTATGCATTTTTACTTTGAATGTGCAAGCTGCAAGACTTTGCTGGGACTGATAAGTTTTTTAATAGTTTTCAAATGGTACAGTGCAGGACAGTTATACAGTGCAGGACAGTGGTAAAGTGCTGTTCTTTTTTTTCCTCTCTATAATAAGGCTCTGGAACCCACACGATGCATTTTGAAAGTGAATGCATAAGAAAAAGAAGACGAAGAGGAGGAAGAAGAGGAAGATGATGAATGTCATATTTCACTGTCTGTTTATGTGTCTCTCATTTAGCACAAGGAAATAAAAGAACAGATTTTCTGGCTTTAAAAACAATAGCTACTGGAGCCTAGTACTGGGCAAGGGGGATATTCTTAAGGCTATATATAAATAAATGTTGACAGAAGACATGAGATAAGATGAAATACCATGTGTAAGAATGTGTAAACGAGGAATTAGGTGTAGATCCCGCAAGGAAGGGCAAATGAGAGGAAGAGTACAACACGTGTACAATCAGTGTACTATGGGGACAGTCAGCATCTCACCTTTTGCTGCAGTAGATGAAGCATCTATGGGTATGCCCGTTGTGCTATGATATTGATTATTAAATCAATAATCAGTCAGTAATCTCTCATTTAGTACAATGCATTTTTTCTTCTTACTCGTTGAAGTTTGGTTGTCGCAGGTCGACCCAGCCTAAAATGGGTACCAGGATGGGCTGTCCTGGGAAAGTAAAGACAGCCGGCGTAATGCTGACCACATTACCCACCGAGTGCTGATGGTCTGTAAAAATATGGGACGCTCTGCCCATATGCCCGATGCGCCGAAAGGCGTGAAAAGGGATCTTTACTTTTTTTTTCTTTTTTTATTTTAAGCATGTACTCTGCAATAATGGGTCTGCAGGATCATCTGTTATATTTGTTTATCTTCCACAGCTGATAAAAGCACCAATTGATGGATGGTTTAAACTGCTCTGTCAGGAAGAAGGAGAGTTTTATGGGGTACCAGTCAGCGATGACATCACAGAAGATATTCAGGAGATTAGAAGTAAAATGCATGTAAGAATTCTTTATAGTCGTTTGGTCGATGTTATGCCTTTCTGATTTTTTTCTGGTCTCAGAAAGGCTGTTGTTAAAGATAATTATATTTACTCAGTGGCTGTTAGTATGTTTTCATCAGTGCAATATTTTAATCTTCATTTTGATGAGTCAGTAAATAATGCTGTAATTATATATCCCATTAAAGATGTCTTGAAAGAAACTGACTCACAAAGAAAACTGACTGCCCACATCAAAAAGAGACAATCTACATTCTTTGGTCATGTGATGAGAAGGAGAAAACTGGAGTACATCGTGATGGTAGGAGAACAGATGCTGGACATTTTGACATCATGACATGGAAGATCATCTGTGTTAGAGTTGATTGAGAGTACTCGAGACAGAAGGTTGTGGATAGACATGACTATCAACACCACACGGCATGTACTTTTAGAAGAAGAAGAAGACGTTGCTTGAATGTTTGCATCTTAAGTTAACTACTTAGTCCATAGATTCTTTTTTAAATTTAGTAATAATAAATAATTATTATTTATTATTACTAATAGATGGTAGAAACATCAACAGAGAGAGCAAACTAAAGTATCTGGGAATTACATTTGACAGGAGCCTGTTTTTTAAGGACCATGGGGAGAGTGTTGTGACAAGATGCCATAAAGGACTTAGTGCACTTAAGACTATGGCTGCAGTTGACATAGAGCAGATAATGCTTTTCACACTATATCAGCACCTGATCCTGTCAGTGGTTGATTATGTCCTGGGAATGCTTACCGTCTCAAAGAGTCAGATGGACAAACTAGAGCGCATACAGAACGCAGCTATGCAGGTCATTCTGGGTTGCACCAGAGACACCCCAGTGGTGTGTATGCGATACATCCTTCGTTTGCCGACTGTTGCAGGTAGGCAAAAGGTGCTGCAGGGTAGCTGCAGACACAGACCACCTTTTGCATGAAGCTCTGGGTGCAGTTAAGGGTCAGCGGCAGATAAGAGGCAAGTCATGGATGGCTCAGGCAGAAGACAATCAGACAGGTTTGCATCCTTGAGAACATTAGGCGAGGAGAGGAGTGAGTCAAAGTGTCACCTAAACAGTCAGATTTGTGTAGGGTCATAATCACACGGAGCCAGGAATGCAGAGACTGGCCAGCAGGTGCCACAGAGGTGGAAATTTTGCAATTAATTCAAGATAATGCTGGCTCAGAAGATTTGATAATTTACACAGACGGTTCAGTGTTAAGAGGCAAAAGAAGTGCTTGGGGCTTCTTAGCAAAATTTAATGGTCAACATTTAGTGTAGGAGAGCCTAGCATATGATACCATAACATCCAGCTTAAAAGTGGAGGTATAGGTGGTCACTGCAGCTTTTCGCTGGCTAGAGAACACAACAAACACACACATCGTGATTGTATCTGACTCAGAAAGCATGCTGAGGAAGATCAGGGCAGGCATGCTTCGTGCAGAGTGGTGTGCTTTGCTGCGGAGGACATGAGTGAGGAGTATTGTCTGGATTTTTTCACCAGGGACACTGGTGTGTTGGGAAATGAACAGGTGGACAGACTGGCTGGCTCTGCACAGCTTGGTGGAATACTGATGCATGATAAGGCAGACGTGGTTAGTGCCTTGTGGGAGAGCGTATACAGTTCGGAGGATCAGATGGATCACCAGTCTGGTGAGATTGCTGCAGGGAAAGGGGGAAGGGCGATGGCAAGAGGTTCTGGCAGATGCTCGAGGGTCAGAGGAAAGGCAAGACGGACGTTTAATCAGAATACTAGTTGGCTAGTTTTTTAGCCAGTCAGGCAGTCTGTCTCTCATTCAGTCAGTCGGTTAGCTAATCAATCAAATAACTAAACAAAACAGACTATGACTCAAGAAGCTAAAAAGAGCTAAAGGAAAACTCATACACAAATAGTCAAACATTTTGTCTAGTATTTATTAACAAAGGAACTGAGTAATAAACAATTTACTTGGACAGAGAGGAACCAGAAATATGTAATAGGACAAAATATGGACCGGTAAAGCTATTATGCAATGAAACATTAAAAAAGAAAAGGGAGTGACAGAAATATAAAAATGAAATATTTGCTTTATTCATTCACTTGATCATTAGTTGGTTAATTATGTGCGTGTACTTGTATGTAACAAGTACATTGTTTTTCTGTTGATACACAGAGATCAAGTATAAGTGACCAGAGGAAGATCCCTGAGCCAGACAAGCTACACAGTTTGAGTAAACAGGACATTGTCAGAGCTAGTGACTTCAATTTTCTTACAGTCTTAGGGAAAGGCAGTTTTGGGAAAGTATGTTCTGTTTTTCTTCTTCATGTTTTATTATATTTTCAGTTTGTCAAGTTAATCCTTGTTTGAGCATAAGTGTTAAGCTGGTAAGTAATGGACCCTTTTCCACGCCTTTAGGCGTATACGGCATATAGTGCTAGACCTAAATTTTTATAGGCCATTCGGCTCAAGATAGCTGATGTGGTCAGCATCACGCCGGCCGCCTTTACTTCCTGGGACTGCACCCAGTACCCACTCAAGGCTGGGTCGACCTGGGAGCCAAGGTCATTTTTGAAAAAAGTCTAGCTCCGCCAGGAAGTGAACCCACGACCTTCTAATCCACGGCGAGCATCTAGCCGCTTTGCCACGGCAACTGTGAAGCTGGGATTTACTGTTAATTATTCTTTGTTTCATCTTTGAGAAACAAGCAAATTTCAGAACAGAGGCAACAGTCTTTCTGTCGGTTGTGTGTGTGTGCTATCAACATTTCAACAGAACTACATGGGGAGAAAAAAAAATAACTCTACATTGACAGTCTAGAAATCAGTGTATGAGTTGATTTATGGCTGGTCAACATGAAGAAGATGGAGTATGCCGCAGTCCGACTCAGACTGCAAACAACACCCAGTATCATCTGAAGTGAAGAAAACAACAATTTATCCAGAAGAACAGAACTAGCTCTGCATCGGCTAAATAGTTTCCATGGCTCCCATTGTAATGGATCAAGAATTAAATATTTTGCTTAATGGAGACTTGCAGAATTTTAATTAGGGAAGCAAGTTTTATTGGAGTTTTGTAAATCTGCTGTGGGTTTCTTTTTTCTTTTTCTTTTTAATTTTTTTTGTAAGGCCACTTCAAGTGGTGTACATTAGGAAAAAATCCAGGAGTAACATTTGCATTATCTGGAGGGTGTACCCAGCAGAGGTCTCAGCATCATGATCAAGACTGCCCCGGACCATGGAGCACCTCTCTGTGTTTTAATGTATCCTCAGATTGGGTTTCCAGCCTAGATAAACTACCATTCCATGATTGGGTTTCCAGTCTAGATAAGCGACCATTCCATGATTGGGTTTCCAGTCTAGATAAGCTACCATTCCATGATTGGGTTTCCAGTCTAGATAAGCTACCATTCCATGATTGGGTTTCCAGTCTAGATAAGCTACCATTCCATGATTGGGTTTCCAGCCTAGATAAGCTACCATTCCATGATTGGGTTTCCAGTCTAGATAAGCTACCATTCCATGATTGGGTTTCCAGTCTAGATAAACTACCATTCCATGATTGGGTTTCCAGTCTAGATAAGCTACCATTCCATGATTGGGTTTCCAGTCTAGATAAGCTACCATTCCATGATTGGGTTTCCAGCCTAGATAAGCTACCATTCCATGATTGGGTTTCCAGTCTAGATAAGCTACCATTCCATGATTGGGTTTCCAGTCTAGATAAGCTACCATTCTATGATTGGGTTTCCAGTCTAGATAAGCTACCGTTCCATTATTGGGTTTCCAGTCTAGATAAGCGACCATTCCATGATTGGGTTTCCAGCCTAGATAAGCTACCATTCCATGATTGGGTTTCCAGTCTAGATAAGCCACCATTCCATGATTGGGTTTCCAGTCTAGATAAGCGACCATTCCATGATTGGGTTTTCAGCCTAGATAAGCTACCATTCCATTATTGGGTTTCCAGTCTAGATAAGCTACCATTCCATGATTGGGTTTCCAGTCTAGATAAGCTAACATTCCATGATTGGGTTTCCAGTCTAGATAAGCTACCATTCCATTATTGGGTTTCCAGTCTAGATAAGCGACCATTCCATGATTGGGTTTCCAGTCTAGATAAGCTACCATTCCATGATTGAATTTCCTTTCTAGATAAGCTAACATTCCATGATTGGGTTTCCAGTCTAGATAAGCTACCATTCCATGATTGGGTTTCTAGTCTAGATAAGCTACCATCCCATGATTGAATTACCAGTCTAGATAAGCTACCATTCCATGATTGAGTTTCCAGTCTAGATAAGCTAACATTCCATGATTGGATTTCAAATCTAGATAAGCTACCATTCCATGATTGGGTTTCCAGTCTAGATAAGCTAACATTCCATGATTGGATTTCAAATCTAGATAAGCTAACATTCCATGATTGGGTTTCTAATCTAGATAAGCTAACATTCCATGATTGGGTTTCTAGTCTAGATAAGCTAACATTCCATGATTGGATTTCTAGGCTAGAAAAGCTAACATTCCCAACAGGGCCATTTATAGAATGTATGACACCCAGCTAACTCTTGATGTGCTGTATCTCACACAGGTAGTGCTAGCTGAGAGAAAAGGCACAGATGAGCTTTATGCAATCAAGATTCTGAAGAAAGATGTCATTATCCAAGATGATGACGTAGAGTGTACCATGATAGAGAAAAGAGTTCTTGCTCTTCCAAACAAACCACCATTCCTTGTTCAGCTGCACTCCTGCTTCCAGACAATGGTTGGTAACTTGCTTTTCATTTGTTTGCATTCCTTAAAGGTCTTCTAAAGTATTATCATCATCATCCTCAAGTACCTTGACGACTGGTATGGGCGATAACGCCTCTCCACAACATGATCTGTGCTGACACCCCAAGATTCCATGAAAGAAGGCTTCTCGCCCGACTTCGTGCCCAGTTTGGGACCCTTTGAAAATAAAGTTTGTTCATTTATTCATTCATTCAATCGTTCCACTGTCACTTGTTTTCTACAAATATTTCCAGTGATCACACTGATAAGATGTGCTCCTATAAAATATAGTATGTTATAATTATAATTATAGATTTCTGATATAATGCAGATACACTATTTTAGCTGCTTGTTTCTTTTGCTGTTTCTGTGTCTGTAGCCTTGTCCTCTTTATTCCTCTTCAGGATGTTATTTATATTTTGTTATACTACTATCTCCTTTTTGTGTGTGTATGTGGCTTTATGTTACTCTTTTCCGCTCTTGCACATCTTTCTTATCGTCTTCTTCATAAACTTCTTCTTACTTTTCTGTTTTATCAGTCTCCTTTCTGTTTCTGCAACATTTATATCTGAGACCTCAAGAAGTATTTGACTTGTTAATTAATCATACAGGATTCATAGCCATATGTTAAAATCGGCTCTATATAGTATGCAAAAATTCTTTTTTTCTTCACTTGAAAGGAATTTACTGTATAAAAAAAGAGTTCTTCATTTTATCAAATACTGTTTTTTTGCCTGTCCTATTCCCTTCCTTGTCTCTGATACATCTTCCATCGGATGTTATCCATGTGCCTAGATTTTTAATCTGAACCTAATTTAATCAGTTAATCAGCTAGACAGTCAGTTATTTAATTAATCAGAATAGTTGTCCTTGTAATATTTTAATTTTCACTGAAAACTATTTTTCTGAACTAATACAGAAATGAAAGTTTGTATCCTTTGCTTGTGGCTGTCCATGCTGATGTTGTTTATTTATAAGTTGCTTGTACATTAATTGATATTTGGTTACGCCTGCTGTAGGATCGGCTCTATTTTGTCATGGAGTATGTGAACGGAGGCGATCTTATGTACAGAATACAGCAGGAAGGAAAGTTTAAAGAGCCAGTGGCTGCGTAAGTTTCATGTGTTTATCTGCCATTGTATGTGTTTTACATTTTCTGGGAGTGTTTTCATTGTGCAAAGTAACGACCTGCTGAGAGGGGTCAAAGTGCTGGGCTCTCATAAAGGAGACCCAGGTTTGACCCTCGGTAAGGAATCAGTATTTTTCATGTAGAATAAAGTAAAAATTCAAAACATTGTTTTCCCAAAATGAATTAAAATTATACCGATATAAACAGTACGTTGCCCAATGAATTGCCAGGCATATTTTGCTGCATCTGTTCGGGTTACTGCAGTTATATCAATATATAATGAAGCATACAAATTAATATACTCAGCCAAAATACAAAATGGTCTCTTGCTATCCATTGTTGTCAAATACTTGGAAGTTTACAATAGTCACATGACTGACCAGGGTAACTTTAAATTGACAATTAACTTTTTCTGCTTGCGTAAGAAAGTATTACACATTTTTAAAAATAAAGCTTCGACCAGTCACAAAATTTGCCTGCTTGGTGTATGGTAAATCAGAGGGAAAGCACTGTCCTTGTCAGTTACATGTCTGGATTTAAGGAAGTGAGGTCCTATAGAAAACTTGGGTTCTGGACTTTATGTAGATTTTAAAACCTGTATGGGCTCACTCAGCATTGCATAAAGCCATTTGGGTATGTGTTCTGCCACTCTGCTTTTGCGATGTCTCTCCATTTGACCAATGTAAGTCAAATGGCACTTGCATGTAAACTGATAATAAAAACAACTTGTTCTGGTGTAGGGTGACATTGGTTCTTTCATGGGTCCTGTTGGGATTTAAGTGGTCTTGTGTCTCAACACTTGAACAGCGGCAAAGAATGTTTAGCCAACAGCTGTTTTTTGTTGGTCCTGCAGACACTGCATGATATCATCCCTTTGATAAGTTAACTGGGAAAACACTTGTAGTTTGGGCACTGTAATTTTGTTTAGAGTTTGTTTGGGGAGTGGGGAGGCGGGGGAGGGTACAGTGATGTTTAATGAATCCTATGGGGTGGCCATTTGGAAGTAGAATTGTCTTGAGGATTTTAGTTTCAGCTGCCAGTGTATCTTCGATGCAAATCTTTCTGGCATGGTTAAACAAGTGTCCTACTAAGCCATGTGAATACTGAATGGGTAGAAAACTGTAGAAGTTTAGATACTGACTAGTCCATGTTTCTTTTTTTCTGTACACTGATGTTTGGATATAGACATCCTGTCTACACCCCTAGGTGCCATCCTCATTGACATCTTCATGGCATATCTTATTCATTCATCTGATTTTAGCAAACTCCTAGTTAGTCCCCGACTACAAACTGCTTGTTAGAGGACAGTGGTTTTTATTTGGGGGTGGGGGGGGGGGGGCCTTCAAAATCGGGTCCTGGAACCCAGATGGGGTATATGGGAATGTGACATCCATGGGTGAAAAAACAGCATTCAGGCAAAGTATACAGCCAGTGATAGTGACAGAACGCAATCTAGGTGTGTCATCTTAGCATTGTGGCCTAGTTAGCTCTACTTTATGGGAAGACCCTGCAGATCCTGACAGAGATGAACTTTTAAAACATGACCTTGGCTCCCAGGTCAACCCAGCCTTAAATGGGTACCAGTTAAAGTCCTTGGAAATAAAGGTGACTGGTTTGATGTTTACCATATTACCCACTGATTGACGATTGGTCTTCAAAATATAATTCTAGCCCAAATATCCCAGATGCCTAAAGGTATGGAAAAGGGTCCTTTTAATGAAGGATATCTTCTACAGCAGTGATTCCCAAACTGTGCGCCATGGCACCCCGGGCAGCCGCGACCTCTTCACAGAGGTGCCGCGACCTTTTCACAGAGGCGCCATGATATATTGTAAAAACTTCATAATGAATTTAACCAAGACACAAATAGTCATACTTATACTTAGGTTAGGGCGCTGTGGAAACATTTTAATTTTAAAAAAAGGCGCCGCAACCAAGAAAAGTTTGGGAAACACTGCTCTATAGCGAGTTACAGATGAGTAGAAGATGTCAGAGGTTGGCCTTTCTTATGATAGCAAGGTATAATATATTATGGCATTTGCTGCTTGAAATTTGTATTTGTAATTTGAAAATACATGAAAGTTTTTGGATGGTTAAGTATATTAATTATTTTTTTAAGCATTCAATAATTGTATTTAAAATTTATATCTGAAATCATTCATGTTTTTCAATACCTACATTCTGAATTGTTCTTTTTCAGCTTTTATGCTGCAGAAATTGCTATAGGATTGTTTTATCTGCATTCTCAAGGAATTGTCTATCGGTAAGTACTGCTTCATTTTCATTCATTGATTAAATCACTGAGTCCGAAGACTGGTATTGAAGTAGTCTGAAATATTTGACTGAAGGGGTTGTTTATTATCATGCTAATTAAGATCTGAAATACTTGATAAAGATAACGATGATAATGGTGATATTTACGAAAATAATTTACAGATAAATTATGAAATACTTGATGATAGTGATGTTAAATTTAATATTTATACATGTTTTAAAGACAAGTTGTGAAATGCTGGCTTCCATGTTTAGAGATCTAAAACTGGACAATGTGATGCTGGATGCTGAAGGGCATATCAAGATTGCAGATTTTGGCATGTGTAAAGAGAACATAATGGGAGATAAGACAACGCGCACATTCTGTGGGACTCCTGATTACATTGCTCCTGAGGTATATCTTAGTTTGTTCCTGCTTATTATTCATATAAATAAACAGAGGGGGAACCTTTGAGGCTGCTAAATATAATGAATTAATCAAGTAACAGAAAGTGTATTGATCGGCACTCATAGAAAGAAGTAGATATCTACTTCTTTCTATGAGTGCCGATCAGTACACTTTCTGTTACTTGATTAATTATTAGTCCTATGTGGAGTTGTCTGTCTATACATTTGTCTATCTGTAAGTTGTCTGTCTACACATTTGTCTATCTGTAAGTTGTCAGTCTGTATACAGTTTGTCTATCTTAAGTTGTTTGTCTATACATTTGTCTATCTGTAAGTTGTCTGTCTATACATTTGTCTATCAGTAAGATGTCTGTCTATACATTTGTCTATCTGTAAGTTGTCAGTCTGTATACAGTTTGTCTATATGAAGTTGTTAGTCAATACATTTGTCTATCTGTAAGTTGTCTGCCAGTAAATATGTATGTTTCTGTCTTTGGCAGTATTTGTATCTTTGTCTGTCTCTATGTGTGTATGCCTGTATGTCCAGCTATCCACATCTGCATCTGTTCATCCATTCACTGATTCATTAATCTATTCCCTAATTAATCTGTCTGTCCAACCATCCACCATCTATTCACTCACCCACCCATCTGTTCATCCATTTACTGATTCATTAATATATCCCTTAATAAATCTGTCTGTCCAACCATCCACCATCTATTCACTCACCCACCCACCCATCTATTCATCCATCTGTTCACCCACCCACCCTTTTCAAGCAAGATGCACCAAACCAATCACCCAGCAATGCACCCATCCAGCGAACAAGCAATGCACGCATCTATCCAGCCAACCAATCACCCACGCAACACCAGTCTATCCAACCACACTGCTACCAATTCATTCATCCACTCATGCAGCTACTTATCCACTTACCCAATCCTCTGCCCAAACCTCACCTTATCTGTTCTACTTTTTTTTTTTTTATTCCTTACTTGCAACCAAGGGCCATTTAGCTCTTCATTTAATTGAAGAAATAAATGTATTCTCTTATAAAAGAACCACTAAATGAATGAATGAATAACTCAGTGGCAAAAATAATAAATGGTGCCTCCACACTTAAAATAGACCTGAGACTTGTGCTCAATTTATTTATCTGTAATGTCATAATAGTAAATTAGTCCATGTTTGCGCACACTGCATGCATGCAAACACATACACATATGTCTGTGTGAGCATGTATGCATGTGTGTGTAAAATTTATTCAGTAAAACAGAAAATCCATGTGTCTGTCACAAAACTCCTACAGATGGTGAGTAGTAGTGACGTAACATTTGCACATGTCATTCTGGCTGTCATTTCTAAGTAGTGTGTGCAATTTTCAACTTTTAACCCCTAATGTTATTATTGTGATTTCCTGTTTGACTTGCCTTTGCAATCAAAATCATTAAGGTGCAGGGAAAATCACTTTTAAGTCATAGACTTGGATTTTTTTGAAGAGTACTGCTAGCTTGGACAGCTGTGTGTGGGACTGTTAAGGGCACTGGATCCCTCAACATTATTCATCATTGTCAATGATCAACGAGAGAGACTTATATTATTGTTTATAGACAAGTATTGAAATATATTTGATATAAAATTTGAATTAATGATTATATTAATTATTGAAATTCATTAGAGAATAAAAAATGAGTTAGAATATATCCTGGGTAAAGCTAGGTAACAAAGCTCTAGTGCATTTATATGACCTGCCTAGACACTGACACATTATGGATACGTACACTGTGAGCTCATATTTGACATATTTTTTTATAGTCTGTTTTTCTTCTTCTTCTTTTTAACTATATGGCTTATCAGTTGCAAAACATCATGGACTTTACAATGGCCTTCTTTTCATGTCAGACCAAATAGATGTGAACATTTTATTTATGTCATCAAATGTATTACTGCCAGATTGTGCTGTATCAGCCATATGGCAGATCTGTTGACTGGTGGGCCTACGGTGTGCTGCTGTATGAAATGCTAGCAGGCCAGGTTAGTATTATTTTTAATTACAGTATTAGTAATTTCTGAATATCTAGGCTCTATATAAAACAGCAATGAAGACTGTTTGACAGAAATTAAAAAGAGGATGGCCATAACAATGCAAAGATTGAACAGCCTTAAAAGTCTATGGTTAAGAAGATCAAAATTCGAATTTTGAGAGCATGCATCTTCCCTATGGCTACATACAGATGTGAGTTGTGGACTATCTCTCAGTCCTTAAGAAAGAGAATAGGGGCTTTTGAGCTGAAATGCTATAGAAAGATTCTCAGAATATCTTGGACAAAGAAGAGGAGAAATACTGACATCTTGAAAGATCTGAACATCAAAAAAGATTGGCTAATAAACAGCATCCTGTCTCAGAAGCTGAAATATTTTGGTCATATCAAGCACCACGACGGATTGGGAAAAATTATAGCTGAAGGCATAGTACCAGGAAGGAGGGGCAGGGGCCGACTGACACGAAGATGGGCACAGGATATAAGTGACTGCTTGACTATGAAAGAACATGAGGCGGGAGAACTGGCGAGAGACCGAGTTTCTTTCAGGCAGACTGTGATGAGAGCGATGTTCTGCAAAGGACCTGCTACATGATGATGATGAGTAATTTCAGCAGTTTTTCAACATTTTGTAAAACTATCAAAATATATATGAATCAGAAGGTCATGAGTTCACGTCCTGATGGAGATGGACTTTTTTCAAAAATGACCTTGACTTCCAGTTCGTCCCAGCCTTAAGTGGGTACCAGGTGCAGTCCTGGGATGTAAAGACGGCCGGCTTGATGCTGACCACATCACCCACCAAGTACTGACTAGTCTATAAGCATATGCGTCTAGCCCTATATTCCCAATACGCTTAAAGGCGTGGACAAAGACCTGTTCTATTATATATATTTAATCAAATTTGGGTTGTATTCTGTTTATTTTTCTTTCTTTCCTTTTTTTTTTTATGTTCTTCTCATTATTATTATAATCATTTTTCCCCCTCATGATTGTAGCAGGAAAATTTGACATGAAATGACTTAAAGAGCCAAATTTTGGTTTCAAATTCAACATGAACACATCTCAATTCATCCGTAGGCAACAGTTATATTGGGGCATCTTATGGTTATAGATTGTTGTCTGTAGGGTTGAGATGACATTCTTTGTTTTCCTCCCAGTGCTGCCGAGTTGTCAGATCCTCATGGCCAAATATCTGTCCGCTGAAGGTGCTTCTTTAGCTGTTCCAGGGGTCTTTAATGTAATTCAATGAAAAGCGTAGCCAGTTATGTTTTGCCATCTCATACGGTCACCAGAATCACAGATCAAGTCAGTGCTCTTGTCTCATCCAATCCATGTGGCTAAGCCATTCTGGTTTTTTCTCTTTGATTGCTCTTTTTATTTTCCATCAGTCTTGTCAGTTTTCATCAGGCCCTCAAGCCAGGCCTGTTTACAACATGTCTACACACACACACACATATACACACATATACACGCATACACATATGCATGTCCGCGCACACACACACACACACTTACACACACCCCACATGTACCCCCCACACCACCTTCAAACACATGCACACAGACACACACACATTTTTTATGGAGATCAGTGAAGGACATGTGTCGTACCACAGCCTTTACAGAGAACTGTGACCTTCTCATCTGAAAACTAGTGGCAGGAAAAGCTATAAGAAAAAAATTAGTTATGTCCCTTTACAGGAAATTGCAGAACCAACCTCAGCATTTTATTTTTATGCTGTTGTGGTTTTTCTAGATGAATTTGATGTTCAGTAGTTTGCCACTGCTTTCGGAATGGTCAGCTTTGGTACCACTATTAAAACAAATGTAAGACAAAAAACATATCTTCTTTCTTTACTATGCGGCCAGTTTCTACATGCTGTTGTATGTAATACAATCCCTGTCAGTCATTCAAAGTTAGAAAATCACCTCTTGAATAATCATTTAATGGAATCATAATCAGTCCACTTCCCTAACAGTATCACTCAAATATTAACACTATGAACTGTGAATTTCTTGTGGAATGTTTAGTATGTGTGTGTGCGTGCATACGTGCGTGTATGCTTGCCTGCCTGCCTGCCAATGTCATGTTATTTGACTGCACTAGACTGGAGGGAGGCCGATTATGTTCAGAATGGCTTGTACTTTTGTAAATGTGGTGCCGGCTTTCATTATTTTCATTTGTGCCAATGGTGAGCTTCAGTTGTGACATGAGACACTTAGTGTTGGCACATCTAACATCTACCTTATGCAGTTTTACTTTGCCTGTGCAAACTTTAAAATTTTACTGTGACTTCCAAGTTCTCCAATGGGACAGTCAAGGACAACTCTGTGTGATTTCCACTGGCACAGGAAAAGAGCAGTTATGAAGCGACCCAGTTTGAAGGGATGTTGGAGCTTTGACTAAGGACTTATCGCTATAATATTACTTCTATTAAGAGATAAAACATATCTGAGAGTCTCCTGAGTGCAGTACCAGTGATCCTAGTTCATCACTCAACTGTCAGGATATGACAACTTTTCACAGTTAAAGATTATAATGTACTGCATATCTGTATGTTATTATTGTATTACCAGCCCCCTTTTGACGGTGAGGACGAGGAGGAGCTGTTTACCTCAATCACAGATCACAACGTATGTTATCCAAAGTCTCTCTCAAGGGAAGCTGTCTCCTTATGTAAAGGGGTAAGACTGCACATACCATGATGCTTCAACTAACCAGCTAAAAATTATTTCAAATATACTTCTTCTTTTTCTGCTTCTTCTTCTTCTTCTTCTTCTTCTTCTTCTTCTTCTTCTTCTTCTTCTTCTTCTTCTTCTTCTTCTTCTTCTTCTTCTTCTTCTTCTTCTTCTTCTTCTTCTTCTTCTTCTTCTTCTTTCTTATGTTTACTGGCAGTAAACTCCTGTGGAAAGTCCTGGTTGTTCATCCACTTCTGGACTTAAGTCTTTTTCCGGAACTTGAGTTTTGCTTTCTCATCCATTTTACAGATCTGTCTTATATGCATGCACACTGTTGGTTCTCTGCCTGTCAGGAAGATGCACTCCTTCAAGAGAAACACCCTAATTAGTTGACTTGTATGACATGCTTATTGGGGGCCGGGAATTGCAATTACCTTACTTTACATATGCACACTGCCACGTTACATATGCACACTACCATGTTACATATGCACACTACCACTTACATATGCACACTACCACTTACATATGCACACTACCACTCACATATGCACACTACCACGTTACATATGCACACTACCACTTACATATGCATACTACCACTTACATATGCATACTACCACTTACATATGCACACTACCACATTACATATGCACACTACCACATTGCATATGCACACTACCACTTACATATGCACACTACCATGTTACATATGCACACTACCACTTACAAATGCACACTACCACGTTACATATGCACACTACCACTTACATATGCATACTACCACTTACATATGCATACTACCACTTACATATGCACACTACCACATTACATATGCACACTACCACTTACATATGCATACTACCATGTTACATATGCACACTACCACTTACAAATGCACACTACCACTTACATATGCACACTACCACTTAAATATGCTCACCAACACTTAAATATGCTCACCAACACTTTACATATGCGCACTACCACTTACATATGCACCAATACTTTACATATACGCACTACCACATTACGTATGCACACCAATACTTTACATATGTGCACTACCACATTACATATGCACACTACCACATTACATATGCACACCAACATGTTACATATGCACACTACCACATTACATATGCACACTACCATGTTACATATGCACACTACCATGTTACATATGCACACTACCACGTTACATATGCACACCAACACATTACATATGCACACTACCACGTTACATATGCACACTACCACGTTACATATGCACACTACCGCATTTCATATGCACACTACCACGTTACATATGCACACTATCACATTACATATGCACACTACCACATTACATATGCACACCAACACTTTACATATGCACACTACCATATTACATATGCACATTACTACATTACATATGCACACTACCACTTTACATATGCACACTTCCACATTACAAATGCACACTACCAAGTTACATATGCACACTACCACTTCGTTTGCACCTATCTGTTTCACCATTTAACTCTACCAGACCGCTGGCCAGATTTTTCGGGAATTTGCATAGGTGAAAAATATGCGTTACAGACTAAAAATAACCAGCCAATCGCCATCAGACTTCGGTGTTAGTCATTGCCAATGACTTCCCACGTGTGTTGAGATTTCTTTGTGTGGTTTAATTTGAAAAAAATTTGGAAAATTCTAAATGGAATGATCAGCTGCGACAAGAAAGTGACGTAGGTCTAGGCTTTTCACAGTTCAACAGGTGATCGATACTGTGGTTAATTCAGACTGTGAATACGTTCATGAAGAATATGTTCCCAGTTGAAGTGACACATTCAATGAGAGCTAGAGTGAGGAGGGGAATTATGAAAATTGTAGATTTAAAACCAGATCAATAGTAAGAGAAGGGGGCGTGTCCCTTAAACAGCAACACCTGGTGCTCACTTTGTGAAACAAGACTGATCCTACTAGGTGGATTGGCACACAAAGGTGGAAGATTGGCGTAGATGAAAGGCAAACCCATTTTCTACAATGTTTTATCTTATTCTAACCACTTGTTTGCATGTAACTAATATTTTTGTATATCATGTTTTTTTTTTAATGTGTTAATGTAAAGGAGCTCAGGTATAGGGGACAGTTAGGTTCAGGGCCTCAGGTCTGGTAGGTTTAAGTCTATAAATTAACAAGTTTATAAAGTACTTTATTATCTGCTATATAATTCACCACACATTTCAATGTTCTTATTGCAGCTACTAACAAAATTACCCAGTAAGAGATTAGGATGTGGACCAAATGGTGAAAGGGATATAAAAGACCATGCCTTTTTCCGAAGAATTGTTTGGGAAAAGATAGAGCTTCGGGAAGTTCAGCCACCATACAAACCTAAAATTGTAAGTACACTGTTTTGTACCATCTGGTTAAATTGTTGTCATGAGAGCTGCAGTAGGGCCATGTGTAGCGTGTCTGCCTTCAAGTCTGGAGGTTACCCAGTCTAAAATTGGCACCAAGAGGTATTCTGGGAAGTTTTCTTTACTTTCTTTTTTTACCTGCTCGGGTGTTGAGGGAGATAAAAGGTTCCGTTTCTTGCTTCTTTTTTTTTTTCTGGACCATAGAAACACAGTGCTGTTGAAGAGTTTCTCTGATGTTATCTTTCATCTTGTTCTTGGTCTCCCTTATGCTGTACATTCTTCTCCTCTTTTTGTGTATGCCCTGTATTGAATGGCATCACAAGGCATTTTCTCAAAGTGGACAAACCATTTGATTTGTTATCATTTTTGCTCATTTAGAATTGATTCCTTGCTGACCTTTTCTTTTATAACATCATTCCTGATTTGATCTCTTCTGGTCACTCCTATTTCCCTTCTCAAACATCTCATTCTCATTGTTGATAATTTTATTTGGGAAGTAACGATGACTGGATTATTCCTACATTGCTCATAGAGGACTGATTGGTCAATAAAATTATGTTTAGTACCGTGTACTCAGTACACCTCAAAGCATTGAAAAAGTGATTTAGCCTACCTCTTATTTGTATTTTTGTGTTTCTCAACTTTGTGCAGTTATATTCTAGAAGACTGCAGGGGTAACTCTTTCTATCCCATGTAGCAAACTTAATGTTATCAGTTCTTGCCTGTGTTTTATTTTTTTAACTTTTCCTGAGTCTTCTAAAAAAAATCTGGCTTGACTGACTGCAGGAAATCTAAATGTGGTCAGTTGTTCTTGTTAGTCTGTGTGTTGTTTATTTTCTTCCTGGGGCAGAATTCTTAGACATTTCTGTTTCTTTCAAAATATAGATTATCTGTCAATGTGATTGTTTTCATTCATTTTTATAGTGTACGATCCTTGTTTTTTAAATTTCTTTTATTTTATTTTTTTTTTTTTAAAGACTGGTCATAACATCAGGTTGTTTGTGTGTGTTATTTCCATTTCATTGTATTGATCTTCCTGGTCACATTATATTCTTTTCATTTTGCTTTCATTGCAGAATTCTTGAATAACATTTGTAACTTCTATGATTATTACCAAAAAAAAATAAAATACATAGGCTAAAAGAGGAAAGAATATGAGCAAATTAATATCTGTGTTATTAACTAAGCCTATTCAAAAAACAAACAAACTTTGAAAAGGTAGATTAATTTATTAAGTGTGTATTAGCCAGTTGTTTCCTTAACTATGGGTGTGATATCCTTGTGTCAGTATTTGTTGTTGCATGAGTTTTATGTGATATTGTGAACACAGCACTAGTTATTGATGTTGTTGCTTTTGCCACATTCCATGACTAAACTTTTATACTGTGAGTTTCCCTTCATTTTACTTAATTTTGATTGTGCATTAACAACCCAGTCAGTTGTCTTGATACTCTGTAGTTTAAAAAAAATTAAATAAACATACAGTTGTATGTCAGAATAAATTAATCTCTGCTTTTACTACAGCGTAATGATTCATCAAAATAATCACTTTAAAATGTCAATAATCTTCATTGAAGGGATGGCTGTGGTAATAAAGTTCCTTGTTAGCACTGGTTTGTCTTTCCAGATAAAGTTCCTTGTTAGAACGGGTTTGTCTTTCCAGATAAAGTTCCATGTTAGCACCGGTTTGTCTTTCCAGATAAAGTTCCTTGTTAGCACCGGTTTTGTCTTTCCAGATAAAGTTCCTTGTTAGCACCGGTTTGTCTTTCCAGATAAAGTTCCTTGTTAGCACCGGTTTTGTCTTTCCAGATAAAGTTCCATGTTAGCACCAGTTTGTCTTTCCCAAAAAAGTTCCTTGTTAGCACCGGTTTGTCTTTCCAGATAAAGTTCCTTGTTAGCACTGTTGTCTTTCCAGATAAAGTTCCCTGTTAGGACCAGTTTGTCTTTCCAGAAAAAGTTCCTTGTTAGCACCGGTTTGTCTTTCCAGAAAAAGTTCCATGTTAGCACCGGTTTGTATTTCCAGATAAAGTTCCTTGTTAGCACCAGTTTGTCTTTCCAGATAAAGTTCCCTGTTAGCACCGGTTTGTCTTTCCAGATAAAGTTCCTTGTTAGCACCGGTTTTGTCTTTCCAGATAAAGTTCCATGTTAGCACTGGTTTGTCTTTCCAGATAAAGTTCCCTGTTAGCACCGGTTTGTCTTTCCAGATAAAGTTCCCTGTTAGCACCGGTTTGTCTTTCCAGACAATAGTATTGGGAGCGGCCCATGGTTTAGTGGCTCTACGATTGCCTACAGATCTGAAGGTCATGGGTTAAGATCCTGACAGAGCCACACTTTTTTTAAAGGTGACCTTGGCTCCCAGGTCAACTCAGTCTTAAATGGGTACCAGAAAAAGTCCTGGGAAGTAAAGGTGGCTGGCTTGATATTGACCACATCACCTACTCAGAATAGATTGGTCAGTAAAATATAGGTCTAACCCTGTATGCCCAATACGCGTGACAGAGAGTGGTAAAGGTTTCTTTTCTAATTGTTTTGTTTTGTTTAAACGTTACTTACATGTGGAAAGCCACCAAATTGAATTTCTAAAGTATAGGTTTTTGGTTACTGATTTAAGAATCGACATCATAGCATACCCATAGGTGGTCTATCTTCCACAGCAAATGTCTTAAGTTGTCAATGCTAACTGTTCCTGTAGCACGCTGATTATACACATGTTATTCTCTCCCTTTCTTACGTCCCTCCTTGCTGGATCCACACCTAATTCCATTTTCACAACTTCTTACACATATTATTTCAACTAAAATCATGTGTTTTATATTTTCTATTTCCATTGTATGTGGTCTTCATAATGTCTTCTTTGTCCAGAGTGACTGTTCCTGTAGCTCTCACTTTTGTTACCTGAAAATTTGCTCTTTCATTTTTCTTACCCTCCTGAATTTCCTGGACAGTGAATTTGCTTGAAGGTTTTTGGGATGACACAAAATCTAAATTTATTGGTGTAGTGACATTTAACAGATATCTTCAAAGAAAACTTCAAGACAGTTTTCGGACTTAGTTTGGTAATGATATTATTTGTGGATATCAAGGATGTGAAACTGTTTTGTATTTCATCTGTATCATATCTTTTTAAAGTGTTTAAAACTATGTGCCTAAAGATGTTTATTTTGGCTTCAGTTTCGCAATTAATTTTTTTCTGGTTGACTTCCACTTCTTTCTAGCTACAATCCACTTCTCTTCCACTTTGCTTACAATCATATATGATTCCATTGACCATTCTAACAAAAATATTAAATACAATGATGCAGAAAATGAATTAATACACTATATATCTAAATAGTGAACTTCAGTGGAACTGATAAATTATCCATAGAATATGACTGCGGAAAATGACCTTGGCTCCCAGGTCGACCTAGCCTTAAGTGGATACCAGGTACAGTACTGGGAAGTAAAGGTGGCAGTCGTGCTGACTACATCACCTACTAAGCACTGTTTTGTTTCTAAAATTTAGGTCTAGCCCTATATACCCAGTATGCCTGAAAGGCTTGGAAAAGGGTCCTTTACTTACTTTACTTTATGACTGCAGGATACACCAAAGTAGCACAATAGGCGCATAAATTATAACTTCTGTAGAGATTGAACTGGGTATGTGGGATTTGTCTTATCGGATTACCATTTGTGATGCTGCTGCTTGACTTACAGGGTGGTCAAACCTAGTCTGGAGGAGTAAATATAAGTAAATGAACCTTTTCCACACCTTAAGGCGTATAGGGCATATAGGGCTAGACCTATATTTTTATAGACCAATCGGCACAAGATTGGTGATGTCAGTATCACGCCGGCCGCCCTCACAACAATATTTCCTGAAACTAAAGATGACCTAAAATAGGTACAACAATATTTCCTGAAACTAAAGATGACCAGCACATCATTCATCGAGTGCCAGATAACAAATTTATACTCTGAGAACCTGATGAACACTTTATACTCCAAGTGTAATCCTGAGGGTTGAACCGGATATTTTTAGGAAATTACAACTACTGTTACTACTAGTCAGTGCCAAATTCCATGTGTAGGTTCCGGGGCACAGTTGGAAAAACCAGACGTGACCCACTGCCTCACTCTCAAGCATGTTATTGGAGTTGAGTAACTAGGTATCATCCTTCGAAGTCGACATACATTGCCAGAACCAAGTCTGCATACAAATAAGCCAGATTTGTGAAGCGGATGTGCATGCAAGACTAAAGACTAAAGTATAGAGGTTTCTGGAACAAGATTAAAGTCTAGAGGTGAACAAACACCCAAAACTTCCCACCGGAGTTTACAGCCGGTAAACAAGAAGAAGAAGAGGAGTAATGTGGACCCAAAAAAGCTGGACCACTTTACTTAATTTTTATCACATCAAATGCCTTGTCAGCAGGTGTGGGTGATCTTAATCTTCTACATCTTGTGATCTGTAACAGAACAAATGTTAAAATCATCTTTAATTATCATAGAAGTATGAGAATATTTCCCATGTATGCACATTTTCTCAACGAATGTCTGTCATTTTGTGGCTTTGGTTTGTAGTCCAACCCGAGGAGAGCAGAGAACTTCGACAAGATGTTCACCACTCTTCCCCTGAAAGAGAGTCCAAGTGATCAGTATGTGATCAACAACATTGAGGACAATGTGTTCGAAGGATTCACCTTCACAAACCCATACTTTCTTTCCAACGATGACGAAATCGAATCTACAGACTTGTAGACTACACACATACTCCCACTGCAAATGTGTTGTTGAATTTTGCATCGAAGTAAAGTTTCTTAGAAGTAATAACTGGGTTTTTGTGTCTGTTCTGTTGGAAAATATGTTTATCAGGGTTTTCATTGCATATTAACTTTCAATATATAATTGATAGCTGAACTGTGAACAGAGGGGGACTGTTAGCATCCACATGTTTTGACGTCTGCTAAAAGAGACTGGGCATGTTTGAGCTTGTCCTATCT